GATGAGGAAGAAGATGATTAGTTTTTTTTATGTCTTATGGAACAATTTTTATTTGTTTTTATTTTTTATTTTTTTGGTGTGTTTTAAGTTTTAAATTAGGTCTTAAACTCTTTTGTGCTTAATGTTGTATTTGCCTTGGTTTATTTCAGAATTTGGTTTAGGAAATGCTTGCATAAGGAGTCTAGAGTATGTGAGAAAAACATGGAAACGAGTCAAGACAAATCGACGTATTGAGTTTGAGTGTCGAGTCGGGTACGAGAGGGTTTATGAGTGAATGTTTACTGAAGCTATGAGAGGTTTTGAAGCCCACTAGAAGCTGGATTCAGGATAGAGTAAAATTTTGTTTGCCCAGCGCTGACTCGCCGAGTGCACATATCCTACTCGACGAGTCACAGTTCATTTTCACAATTTCAGCAATTTCGTGTAATTACTCGACGAGTCGTTCTCTAACTCGACGAGTCCTACATTTATCCACCACAAGGGCTGCTGACTTAATGCTGATGGCTACACTACTTGATCATTTATTCTTTGCAATCAATTCCTGAAGATTTTATAGTATTTTTCCTGCACATTTGAAGCTACCCACATGTGATTTGATGTCCGAGACATGGATGCGCTGTTTCCATGGCTAAAGTCGATTGGAGTAGAAGCTTAATTGAAGAAAAACACCTTCGCAACTGCTATCCCAGGGAAGTTTGTTCCAATTCTCTCTATTTTTCATTTTTTTTTCATGCATAACAAGCAATGGGGACATTGCATGAATTAAGTGTGGGGTGGGGAGTTGGTTACATCTTAGTGAATTTAGAATCCTAATATAGTTGGTTACATCTTAGTAAATTTAGAATCCTAATATCCTAATTTAGGTTTATTTTTTTTAAAAAAAAATTCCATGCCAAAAATACTTAGGATTTAATTTAGAAAAATTTGGTAAAGAGTAATTAGGATTCCAAGTTAGAATTGTGTGGATGATTGCATGAAAACCCAAATGTTTAGTTGAGCCTATATATGTTCTAGTGCATTTGTGGCTTCCTTATTCCAGTGAAATCATGGGACAAAAACATGACCTCGCTTAGTTTGAAGGATGCAATATGTTTAGCATCGTATACCAGAAATGTATCTAGGAAAATTATTATCTTTAGCCAATAAAGGTTGAATTTGAGCACCCCTGCTTAAGCATGTAGGGCTTTGAGTGAAGAAAAAAGTAAGTACATGTAAAAAGAGAGAGAGAGAGAGAGAGAGAGAGAGAGAGAGAGAGAATTACAACAAAGGTTGGAAGAATTTTTGGAGCATCAAACTTAAATATGAAGGATCAAAATTCTGGAGAAATTCAAAAAGTTGAAGATACCAAAAATCAATCAAAAAGGTGGTGAATTCAAACAAGTCAAGATCAAATTGTCAATGAAGTGAAGAATTCCAATAGCTCCATAGTGGTATCAAAAGTTGTAATTTTTTTTCTAGATTATGTATGCTTGGGTTGCTCAACCAAAAATACCTAGAGGTTAAGAGGTTTTGTGAGGATGGATTTGGAGGGATGCATAAAATGAGCATTGTTCGGAAAAAGTGGGCGAATGTTTATGAGGATTGTGAGTATTTGGAGGGTTTATTAGGAAAATTTTAGACACAAATGCATGTGTTGCGGTCTTGGCATAATGGCTAGGTTCGATTGGAGTTGTCTTATGTGATTCTAATGTGTTAAAATTCATTTTTGCTGGGGGAAAGCAAAAGTCAAGTGTGGGGTATTTTGATATTTGGATATTTAGTATTATATTAAGTATAGATTTTTATCATTTATTAGCGAATTTATTGCATATCATGGACAAAAGATACTTAAAAGTGTTTGAATTGTGTTTTCAGTCCAAAAGCAAAGCTTGGGAGCCAAAGAAAGCAGGAGAAGCGGTTGGGAGCTCAGGAGTTGAACAAAGGAGAAAAATGTTGAAAACATAAGATACTCGGCGAGTCGCATCGAAGGACCAAGAAGTTAAGGACTCTAAGACTTACCGTGCACGAGAATTAAGTGATGGACTCGACGAGTCGGTAATGGACTCGGCGATTTGGTTCGAATCTATATATATAGCTTTCCAGATCAACATAAAAAATTGTAGAACCCTTGGGGAGAAGCAAGCTGCGAATCAGAGTCGGGAGAGAGCTGGAGAACGAAGATACAACCCTAAAACCAATTCCGAAGAAGATTTGAGGCAAACCTACATCATTCTTACTTTAATCTATTGTTCTTCATTATGTTTAGACTTTTAGATTTCGTTTTTATGATGTTAATCACCTCAATCATGAGCTAAAACCTTTAAGATTCTGTTTGGGGAGACAAATTTGTTACTATGGACTGATTATTTATGGTAGGATTGATTTAATATAGGTGATTTTGTTTATTCTAGCTTGTTAAAGAACCTCATGTGTGATTGAAAACTATTTTTCTGTTATTAGGAAGTTAATTAAGCTGTATGAACATCTCTTAATTGCTACCTCATATAATTTATGTGACCAGTTTGTTATATGACTAGGATTACCGACTGTGAAACTAGAATTAAGAGAAAAATAGGTAAAATCATGTGTGAGCTTGTGTGATGACTATCAACAAGAAGTTAACTAAATGACCAAATTAGTTAGCTATTACAAGTCTAAATTAACCCGAATAAATAACCTAGTGAATTAAATTAAATTAGACAATTGATCACTGTTTGATTTATTTGATCTCTAAGAATTAGTGCAGCGAACGTGAATCTAATTACTTGAATCGGTAGCTAATAGAAGAGTTAATCCATTGCACTGTTACCATAATATCAGCCATAGGATCAATTGAGTTGAACTAAAGAGAAGTCCCCTTCGTCATTGAATTTAGTTGAATCTTTGCTTTTCTAGTTTTTAGTTTAAGTAATAGTTAGTAAGTTTCTAGTTTTGTAAAACTAGAGAAAAACCCCTTTTTATTATTTAAACTTAGATAAAATTAGTTCTTAGTTTTTATTTACCGTTCCCTGTGTTCGACACCCTACTTATTTAGCTTTATCACAATTGATAGGTCCACTGCCTTTGTGTGTTTATTTTATAATTAAAAGTAGGTTTAAAACTAGTTTGTTTCACACACATCAAGTCACCTCCACATAATTCACCAAAATACTCACGTCCAATTTTTCACCATAAATCACCTTCTACAAAGGGATTACCGATGCCGTTGGTTTCTCTGGTGATGAAAGCCCATGAGCCGTAGTTTTTGAGGTGCTTGGGTGGTCAAAAAAAGTGAAGAAAACTGATTTGATGAGAGTGGTAATGAATTTGAAAGGAGAAAGAAAATGAAGTACAAAAAAATGGAGAACCATGGATAAAACTAAAAGAAAGAAAGATACAATTAACGACCAACTTACAGTTTGCTGGCAGCATAGGTAGCATATGTAGCACAAAGTTAAACCATATATGCCATTAATTTGATCTTAAAACAAAAAGAGAGAACCATGGATCGAAATTAAAAGAAAGAAGAATACAATTAACGACTAACTTACAGTTTGCTGACAGCATTGGTAGCATAGACATGGCATGAAGGCACAACAATGGCAACACTAGAACCAATATTAACAATGAAACCTCTTTTCCTCTCAACTATTCCTTCAATCACAACTCTTGTTACCAAACTCGTACCTATCACATTCACTTTCATGGTGAACAATTGGACGTGAGTATTTTGGTGAATAATGTGGGGGTGAGCTATCCTACGACTAGGCTTTTTCATGAGGTTGAAGAAGAATTTTGGATGAATGTGATGAAAGTGAATGTGATAGGTACGAGTTTGGTAAAAAGAGGTATGATTGAAGGAATAGTTGAGAGGAAAAGGTGTGTCATTTTTAATAATGGTTCTGGTGTTTCCATTGTTGTGCTTTCACACCATCTCTATGTTGCCTATGTTGCCAACAAATTGTAAGTTGGTTGCTAATTGTATATTTGTTTCTTTTAATTCGCTCCATGGTTCTCTATTTCTGTTTTAAGATCAAATTAAAGGAATATATGGTTTAATTTTGAGTCAAAAAACATGAATTAGGATTGTTTTTACGACCAAACGACCGACATGGTTTTGAGTTATGAAAACAAGTTATTTACACAAGACAAGTTCGGAGAAACAAGATGAGCGGACAAAAAAGTCGGTAAAAGTACTGGATTAAGGCATAAGTGAAACCCAAGGGTATATAACATGTCAAATTAATGTTCCAAAATTCAAATCTTCCTTACAAATGTAAGATAAATAGAAACTATATACAAACGACGATTTTCATTGATGGGGTGGAAGTTGGATATGTGTATTTTATTTACGAAAAGAAAAAACTTAGTGTCAAAACTGCAAAAAATAAAAATAAAAACATAGTGTCTTTAACGCCACATTTTTCGCTTTTGACATATCATAATGTCACGTCAACAGTGACAACCGATGACCTGAAGCAAACTGACCAACTAGTCAGAATTGTAACAAATTGAAAACATAGTCGGTTAATTGTAATTAAAAAAAACACTCTGTTAAAATCAAAACTGGTAAAAATTTAATGACTTTTGTGTCATTTAGTGTATGTGTATATGTACGCCAATTACTAATTGTATTCCCCATATGTGTGTGAGTGGATGTTTGACTTTTTATATGAGTGCGAGTTACCTATAATAACATTATATTTTTTTGGTTCAAAAGAAAAAATTGATAATCATGCACTTTATCTAACAAACTAAACATAACATAAGTAACAAAATTATGATAAAAAGTTCATGATGCACGAATGTTCTAACATAGTGACTATACGAAAATGAATGATTACATATGTTTGCAATGAAAAATGGTTAAATGCAAGTTTTGGTTTGCAAAAAACATTATTAACTCTTTCAATAAAATATTTAAAAAGGAAAGAAAGTGATGAAAACCGATTTCATGAGACTGGTAATGAGTTTGAAAAGAGAAAGAAAATGAAGAACCATGGATCGAACTCAAAGAAAGAAAGATACAATTAACGACCAACTTAAAATTTGTTGGCAACATTAGTAGCATAGAGATGGTGTGAAGGCACAACAATGGCAACACCAGAGCCAATATTAACAATGACACCTCTTTTCCTCTCAACTATTCCTCCAATCACAACTCTTGTTACCAGACTCGTACCTATCACATTCACTTTCATGGTGAACAATTAGACGTAAGTATTTTGGTGAATAATGTGGGGGTGACCTATCCTATGGCTAGGCTTTTCATGAGGTTGAAGAAGAAGTTTGGATGAATGTGATGAAAGTGAATGTGATAGGTACGAGTTTGGTAAAAATAGTTGTGATTGAAGGAATAGTTGAGAGGAAAAGATGTGTCATTTTTAATAATGGTTCTGGTGTTGCCATTGTTGTGCCTTCACACCATCTCTATGCTGCCACTAAATTGTAAGTTGGTCGTTAATTGTATATTTCTTTCTTTTAATTCGCTCCATGGTTCTCTCTTTCTGCTTTAAGATCAAATTAAAGGCATATATGGTTTAATTTTTAGTCAAGAAACATGAACTAGAAATGTTTATACGACTAAACGGCAGACATGGTTTTGAGTTATGAAAACAAGTTATTACATAGACGAGACAAGTTTGGAGAAACAAGGGGGGAGGACAAAAAACCCGGTAAAAATATTGGATTAAGGCATAAGTGAAACCCAAGGGTATATAACGTGTCAAATTAATGTTTTATAATTCAAATCTTATTTACAAATGTAAGATAAACAAAAGCTATATACAAACGAAGATTTTCATTGATGGGGGTGGAAGTTCGATATGTTTATTTCATTTACGAAAAGAAAAAACTTAGTGTCAAAATTGCAAAAAATAAAAATAAAAAAATAGTGTCTTTAACGCCACTTTTTTCACTTTTGACATGTAATAATATCACGTCAACAGTGACAACCGATGATCTGAAGCAAACCGGTCAACTGGTCATAATTGCAACAAATTGAAAACATATTCAGTTAACTGTAACATAAAAAAACAACGTGTTAAAATCGAAAAGGTGAAAAGTTAATGACTTTTGTATCATTTAGTGTAAGTGTATATGTACCCCAATTACTAATTGTATTCCCCATGTGTGTGTGAGTGTATGTTTGACTTTTTCTATGAGTGAAAGTTATGTATAATAACATTATATTTTTTTGGTTCAAAAGAAAAAAATTAATAATCATCCACTTTATCTAACAAACTAAATATAACATAACTAAAAAAATTATGATAAAAAGTTCATGATGTACGAATTTTCTAACATAGTGACTATACGAAAATGAATGATTACATATTTTAGCAATGAAACATGGTTAAATGCAAGCTTTGGTTTCCGAAAATCATTATTAATTCTTTCAATAAAATATTTTAAAAAAATAAAGGAAGTGAAGAAATCCGATTTGATGAGAGTGGGAATGAGTTTGAAAAGAGATAAAATGGAGAACCATTGATCGAACTCAAACAAAGAAAGATATAATTAACGACCAACTTACAATTTGTTGGCAACATAAGTAGCACATGCAGCATAGAGTTAAACCATATATACCTTTAATTTGATCATAAAAAAAAAAAGAGAACCATGGATCGAATTAATAGAAAGAAAGATACAATTAAGGACCAACGTACAGTTTGCTGGCACAACAACGACAACACCAGAACCAATACTAACAACAACACCTCTTTTCCTCTCATTTATTCCTTCAATCACAACTCTTGTTACCAAACTCGTTCCTATCACATTCATCCAAACTTCTTCTTCAACCTCGTGAAGAAGCGTAGCCATAGGATAGGTCACCCCCACATTATTTACCAAAATACTCACGTCCTGTTGTTTATCATAAATCACCTTCTGCAAAGGCATTACCGATGTTGTTGGTTTCTTTGGTGATGATAGCCCATGAGCCATAGTTTTTGAGGTTCTTAGGTGATCAAAAGAAAGTGAAGAAAACCGTTTTGATCAGAGTGGTAATGAATTTGAAAAGAGAAAGTAAATGAATTACAAAAAATGTAGAAATTATGTCTTTGCATATGTTTATTTCCTTTATATACTTTTATTAATCTACTTTACATATATTTTATTATATTATAGGATATATAGTGCAATTATATCTTTACATAGAGACAATTAACGACCAACTTACAGTTTGCTAGAAGCATCGGTAGCATAGAGATGGAGTGAAGGCACAACAATGGCAACACCAGAACCAATATTAACAATGACACCTCTTTTCCTCTCAACTCTTCCTTGAATCATAACTCTTGTTACCAAACTCGTACTTATCACATTCACTTTAATCACATTCATCCAAACTTCTTCTTCAACCTTATGAAAAAGCCTAGCCATAGGATAGGTCACCCCCACATTATTCACTAAAATAGTCACGTTTAGTTGTTCACCATGAATCACCTTCTGCAAAGGCGTTACCAATGTCGTTGGTTTCTTTGGTGATGATAGCCCATGAGCCATATTTTTTGAGGTTCTTGGGTGCTCAAAAGAAAGTGAAGAAAACCAATTTGATGAGAGTGGTAATGCGTTTGAAAAGAGAAAGAAAATGAAGTACGAAAAATGGAGATATTATGTCTTCGCATATGTTTATTTCATTTATATATACTTTTATTAATCTAATGTACATATATTTTATTATATTATAGGGTAAATAGAGCAATTATATATTTGCGTATGTTTAAAATTGGAAAAGATTGAAAACATAGTGTCAAAATCACAAAAAATGTGAGAAGTTAACAACTTTTGTGTCATTTACCCATAGAATTACCCAAAATATACTAAAAAAAGGGCAAAACACTACCAAGGAGCAGACACTGCCATTTTAACCATTCTTGGGGGATTCCATCCAAAAACCAGAAGTTTACGGTTGATTAATGTGGCTTGTCCCATCTGAGTACTTAATTAACTTACTTTACTGAAGCAACCTAAGCATTTCTTTACGAGATTCTTAATATATATATATATATATATATATATATATATATATATATATATATATATATATATATATATATATATAGGGTTAGGTTATATTGTTTCTAGTAACTCTTGTGTGCTAGAATGCATAGATGTGGACCATCGGATGGATTATAATCAAAGGTCATGATCTGAGGGTCTATGATACTAGAATAGGATAACATATACCATATAATCACACAAATTTCAGCATAAGGGCATTTTAGTCAATTAACCTATATTAAAAAAGGAAATTTTCAGAATGTTAGAATATTTTAAATTAATTCAAAATTAAAAAATCGATTTTATTCTGTCAGAATGTTAGAATGTTAACCACAAACTAGTAAATATATTTTTCGATTTTATTCTGTCAGAATGACATAATGCCAACCATAAACTAGTAATTACATTCTAAAAAGAATACACAAAATCAATTCTTGAACTAATAATATAGCAAATAATTACATTGTATGATTGTGATTCATTGAATAATAACAACATTCAGAAAGAAAAAAAGAAAAATAAACATCACAATCTAACAAAAACACTAATCTATTCTGATAGAATATTATTTTTTAGCAACATTTTATACATTGTAGCATAACACATTCTGGTATAATACACTCTCATTCTCTATGTTTTCTTCCTTCTCCACATCAATGTTAGCCTCTTCAAAACCTAAATCCACAAAGAAAACATAATCAAGATTAAAAAATTAAAAAATTCAATGCATTCTAAGAGAATAAAAACTTTAAATTCTGACAGAATGTACTTGTTGTTGACAATTATTCTCAAACATTCTAACAGAATACATTTATATAAAATAAATTCTAATAGAATACATTACATAATTCAAGAGCTGTGATTGTATACAGAATTCAATAGCTATGATTGAATCATCAACACACATATACATTCATTCCCAGTCATGAATTCAAGAAACAAACACACATTTACATTATTGATTTAGAAATATGAACACCAATTTTGACTTTTTCGAAACAAAATCCAACTTATGACTGTGAAGTGCAAGTTGTATCAGAATATTTCTTCAATCGAACAGAAATAAACCATTGAAGAAATCGAATTTAATAAGATGATGAACACAATCTCGATCTTGAAAAAAAAATCGAGATAAAATCAATCTCGATTGATGTAAATAATTTCCAGTTAGATCCTCTAGTTGTTGGATTACCGGACCAAAGAAAGAAGAATAGGAGGATGCCGGAGGATACCTCCATCCAAGTACCTACAATCGTCGGGATTTCCTGACCGTTTGCTCCTCGCTTCTCATTCGTGTTCATAGACCCCACAACAGCGCCACCGCTCCTCCGCATCCACTTCTTTAGCCTCATCGACCCCAGAATCCATCATCGATTGCGAGACGAGAGTATGTGCTCCCTTTTGGATCCGTCGATTGTAGAAAAAGAAGTAGAATCGGTGATGGTGATGGTGTTGATGTCGATGATGAAGTGTTCGGCCGCAAACATATCTAGGTCAAATATATTTAGTTTAATTCCTTAATTGAATGATTAGTTTATTTCCTTAATTGAATGATTTCAATTTAATAATTTCCTTAAATAAAAGTACAAAAGGTCCAAAATACCCTTTAATGATTTATTTAATTATTTATTATTTCTTGAATTTTCATTGGTGCATTTAGGCACACAATAGTTGCTAAAAACATTTGAACCTAGCTCTCTCTCTCTCTCTCTCTCTCTCTCTCTATATATATATATATATATATATATATATATATATATATATATATATATAAAGAGAGAGAGAGAGAGACTAAATAATGTTCCAACCGTGACTTTCTCCATGTTTTAAGTTGCAATCCTTTTGTCATTTTCATCAATTTAAAAAATCGTAAAACCATGTCTTCCATGCTTTGCACATCATAATCTTTTTGGAAATTTTATAACCATCCTTCCTATTTTTCTCAGACATAGTGATACATGTGTACTATAACACTAGTAGGTGTGCCCCTACACCGCACCTTGTGGTGGTGACATGTTACTACGGTGGTGTGAAGAACATGACACCAATTGGGGGCCAGGAGTGCGGTAAGCCCACCACACCAGAAATCTTTTTCACACTTTTTTTATTTTGTGACCATTGACCATTTTTTTTCAATTGTGTGATATGACACTCACCAGTTTTGTGAGATGAGGGGAAAATGACGTGGCAGGAAAAGTGTGGTATGACACCGTAACAACCCACAAATCAAGGATAAAAATTTCATTTTTAATATAGTAAAAACTTAGATATCATTTATTCCAAACTTTCCAAAACATCTCTAATTAAAACATTTATCAGAGTTCATCCCAACATCATTCATTGCAGAAAACCGATGATACCTGAAAAAATAAACAAAATTGTAAGCGCAAAGCTTAGTGAGTTGCCTAGAGCATACCCCATACAATCCACATATTCACATAATCCATATTAGCTCTATAAGCTACATATATCACATAAGCCATGTATACAAACATATGGGATGCCATGGAAACCCTCCAAGGTCTTACATCGGGTGCAACTGGAACCCCCACGTGGTCTTAGCCCACTGCCATGGGAACCCCCACATGGTCGTAACTACCATGGGAATCCCCACCTGGTCCCAACCCATTGCCACGGGAACCCACGGGGTCTTCCATACCAATATCGTATCAACATAACACATAATCAATTAACAGTACACATATACAACCCTATAAGCCATACATACAACATATAAAGGTGCCATGGAAACCCTCCATGGTCTTACACCGAATGTTATGGGAAACCCCCACATGGTCTTAGATCACTGCCATGGGAACCCCCACATGGTCTTCACATAAATTCATAATGTATCGATAGCACATTCACAGTAATCATCACAACTAAATAAATGGGTCGGCCTTGGTGCCTTAGACCATTGGTATGATGAGGAGACTCACCTCGCACTGCTGAAGTCTCGCAGATAAAACTCTAGCTACTGGTTGACAGGTTCCTGAATTGTCAACATCAAAATGACACCCAATTAATAATTGGGTTCCAATACGTACCCATATGTCCATGCTTGTGGTAAAAAGACTACTTTACCCATAAATTAGCTCTATTCAGTCCAACACCCAATCCAATGGCCCAAAAGTCAAGTTATGGACCAAAGCCCAACACATGGCCCAATTTTCCAAACTGATCCCAAACCTCTACATGGGCTTATCTTAAGGCCTAACCATTTAGTCCAGTCCAACCACTTGGTATTCCAATGGTCCAACCTCTCATAATCCTCAAGGCCCAGTTATGACCCATCTACGACCCAATTTTCCAAATTGGGCCCAAACCCTCACATGAGCCTTACCCTAAGCCCCAATAATATATTCTTAGTCCATATGATTATTCTTGGATGACCCATCAATAGCCTAATCACTAAAACCCAATATAATGGCCCAACTTAAGGCCCAAGAAAGATTAGGGTTTTCACATAAAATGACGATTAGAGTTAAGTGTCTCTTACTTAACCCATTAAGGACTTAATCCATTAACTCAATCAATCTATTGGGTTAATCATATAATGCGGTGGGTCTTATACATAATTCCAATCCATTCATCTAAAAATGTGGCTCCTTACAGTCTAAATACTATATATATATATATATATATATATATATATATATATATATATATATATATATATATATCAACAATTAGGGTTTTCTAAACCCTAATTAGGGTTTCCAACCCATAACAATCCAATTAGACCTAAAAGTTAAGTACTTAGGCCTATTAGGGTTTCATTAGGTTAATTAGGTTTTCTTAAGTCGGGCACCACCCACTACCACCTAGGGTAGTGGTTGTCAACGGCGGCTCATGGTGGCGGCCACCACCTTATGGTAGTGGTTATGGTTATAGTCTCATTATGTCCAAGCATCTAAAAGCAAGCTAAACATAAGAAAAAG